GGGAGGCAGAGGCAGGCGGATCTCTGTGAGTTCGAGACCAGCCTGGACTACCAAGCGAGTTCCAGGACAGCCTCCAAAGCCACAGAGAAACACTGTCTCGAAAAACCAAAAAAAAAAAAAAAAAAAAAGAAGTGTGCGTGTGTGTGTGTGTGTGTGTGTGTGTGTGTGTGTGTGTGTGTGTGTGTGTGTGTTGACAGGGTCTCTCTACATAGCCCTGGCTGTTCTGGAACTCAACTGGCCTCTGCCTCCTGAGTGCTGGGATTACAGGTGCGTACCACCAGACCCAGATAGAAACAGTATTTAATGTTGGCTATGTCAAGGAGTCTTGGGTGAATAGCTACAGAGTTTATGTGGTGGATACATACCATCAAAGACTCCATTTCTTCTAAAATTGTTTACCCTTTTAAAATATCTATTTGAAGCCGGGCGTTGGTGGCGCATGCCTTTAATCCCAGCACTTGGGAGGCAGAGGCAGGCGGATCTCTGTGAGTTCGAGACCAGCTTGGTCTACAGAGCGAGTTCCAGGACAGCCTCCAAAGCCACAGAGAAACCCTGTCTCGAAAAACCAAAAAAAAAAAAAAAATTAAAATATCTATTTGTTTTTATTTAATATGTGTGAGTGTTTATGTGTATACCACATTGTGCCTGATGAGCCAGAAGGCGGCCTTGGATCTCCTGGAGTTATAGGTGCTTGTGAGCTGCGGTATAGGTGTTGGGAACCAAACCTGGGTCCTCTGCAAGAGCATGAAATGTTCCTAACCACTGAGCCGCCTCTCCAGTCCCTTTAAGAAAACAATTGCACTTATTTTGTGTGCATGGGCGTGGGGAGTATGCCATGGTGCCTGTGTGAAGGTTGGAGCACAGTTTGAAGGAATCGGTTCTCACTCCACGTGAGTCCTGGGGATTGAACTCAGGTTGGCAACCTTATGGCAAGCATCTTTACTGGCTGAGGCATCTCGGCCCAACTTTGTTGAGTTAACCAACCTCTATATATGAGCTATTTGTTATACAAACCTTTGGTTTGTTGTCTGGCCTGGAGTTTACCATGTAGCTGAGGCTAGACTTGAACTCCTGACCCTGCCTGCCTCTAACCTAACAGGCTAGAGTGGTTTTGCGGATGTGAGGTAGCTACCAAACTGCCTCTCAAAGCCGGCTGGGTGTGCTGACTCAAGCCTGTAATCTCATTGTTTTCAGGAGACTTAAACAGGTAGATTGGGAGCTGGAGAGACGGCCCAACGGTTAAGAGCACTGACTGCTCTTCATGAGATCAAGGTCCAGAGTTCAATTCCCACATGGTCGCTCACAACCATCTGTAATGAGATCTGGTGTCCATTCGAAACTGCAGGCACACATGCAGGCAGAACACTGTACTCACAACAGATAAATAAATCTTTGAAAAAAAAAAAACAGGCAGATTGAACCGGGTGGTGGTGGCACTCAGGAGTGTGTCTCTGGAAGGAGACTGGCACGATCTGAGGATGAATCAGGAAGTTCAAAACAGGCTACACCTTATTATGTTCTGTATAATTGCATTATACTTTACCTACAAGCGATATTGAAAGCAGACTTAATGCATTCTGGCATGAAAGCAGACATCAACGTCATTACAACATTTTTCCTGAAGCGAAAAGCAGTAAGTTGAGCAAGAATCTAAATGCCTACTGTTCTCTAAGGATCAGTAACCACACCAGACACCCTCTCACACTTCTTCCTTCATGGTCAGGAGGTGTCAGACATTGAAACAAACCCATAAGAGCAATTTCCATTCTTCAAGAGGTGTGATGTAGTCTTTGTACCGTGTAGCACCGAGAGCCCTGAGCTGGTCCCTGATCACATTCCTTTGTGCCTTAGTCTTCTAATGTGGGCTTGTTACCCTCTTAAGCTCCCAAAGGAAGGCAGGGGAGGAGGGTGCAGCCAGTCTGTCCTCTTAATGGACTCTCTTCCCCATGGGGCAGAGCAGATCTTGCCATTCATCCAGGAAGCCATGAATTGTGGGTACTATTCTGTACTCATTAACTGAACGCCTGCCTATGCGACCCCAGGCTCTAGATCTGGGCCCATTGTTTCTCTGGATTCCATGTTTTTCATCCCTGGGACTAGGAATGCCCAGTTAGTACATCTCTGACTTCTCTATTCCTGGTGTGATGGGGGGGGCACAATGGGAGTCGTGTGTAGAGAATAAGCAGTTATCATGCTATATAGTTCCACAGTGGCGGGCATTTTTTCCAGAGTTATTTTGTTTAAAGAGACTGCCACTGTATATACTCTCACCCTACACCAAAGCTCGCACAAAATTCCCAAAGGAAAAGGCATAAGGGACTCCCATAACACATAGCGAGAACCGGTAAATAGCAAAAAGATGGTGGATTTGTCAAGCAGCAATGGTCGCCATGGGGCCCATGCCATGTGTGTGCCTCTCTGTCTCTGTCTCTACTTTTCCCAAACAGGGTTTCTCTGTGCAACCCTGGCAGTGCTGGAATTCGCTCTTTAAACCAGGCTGGCCTCCAAGTCACGAGATGCCCCTGCCTCTGCCTCTGCTGAGAGCTGGGATTAAACAACTTTCAGAATCAGGTCCACTGCCTCCAGGTGGGTTTCTGGGGATTCATAAATTCAAGTGCCTGGATTTTTTTGTTTTGTTTTGGTTTGGTTTTGGTTTTCAGACTGGGTTTCTCTGTATTGCTTTTGAGTCTGTCCTGAAACTCACTCTGTAGGTGATGATGATGCTGGCCTCGAACTCACAGAGCTCTGCCTGTCTCTGCCTCTGAGTGCTGGGATTAAACGTGTACCTCATCACTACCCAGCAAGTGTCAGGCCTATGTAGCAAACTTTTGTCCATGCCAGCCACTGGCCCTACTTTTGTTTTTGAGACAGAATCATGTAGCCTAAGTTTGTCTCCAACTCAATATTTTGTAGAGAATGATATCCCATTCTCCAGTCTCCTCCTCCCGAGTGCTGGATTTATGGGCATGCACCGCAATGTCAGCTAGTTTTGACAGGGTCTCACTCTGCTGTCCTCCTGCCTCAGCGTCCCTGGTGCTGGATTACAAGTGTGAGTCACCATGACCACCAGACAAAGGTTTTGTTGCCTCCCACCCAGGCCCTCAGATGACATCCAGGAAATTTGTGGAAATGGTTTTCTTGTTACACCGGGAAGCCGGGTGTTTCTACTGACATCTAGTGGCATGAAGTGGGAGCTGCTTCGACTCGGCCCATGTAGGCAGGGTGGTTCCTGCCAAACACAAGATGGTCCCTAAATACTCAACGGGTCCATACAAGGAGGATCCCCTGCAGGCCTCTAATCCCAGCACTCAGGAGGCAGAGGCAGGCGGATCTCAGTGAGTTTGAGGCCAGCTTGGTCTACAGAGCAAGTTCCAGGACAGGCTCCAAAACAATACAGAGAAACCCTGTCTCTAAAAAACAAAAAACAAAACAAAAAGCCGAGCGTTGGTGGCGCACACCTTTACTCCCAGCACTCGGGAGGCAGAGGCAGGCGGATCTCTGTGAGTTCAAGACCAGCCCGGTCTACAAGAGCGAGTTCCAGGACAGGCTCCAAAGCCACAGAGAAGCCCTGTCTCGAAAAACCATTTTCCTTCTTCAACCCGGGGCTACCCTGTGTAGCCCTGGCTGCCCTAGAACTCATTTTGTAGGCCAGGCTGGTTTTGAACTCAGAGATCCACCTGCCTCTGCTTCCCGAGAGCTGGTCGATGGTGTTAAAGACATGTGCCACCACTGCCTTGCTTATAGTCTTCTTTTTTTTTTTCCGAGACAGGGTTTCTCTGTGGCTTTGGAGGCTGTCTGGAACTCGCTCTGTAGACCAAGCTGGCCTCGAACTCACAGAGATCCGCCTGCCTCTGCCTCCTGAGTGCTGGAATTAAAGGCCTGCGCCACCAACACCAGGCTGGCTTATAGCCTTTTAAAATATTATTATTGTTATTGTTTTATGTGTATGTCTGCTATGACGAGGACAGAGGGGTATGATATCACTCAGAACTTAAGTTACAGGCGGTCCTGAGCTGCCTGACATGGGTGCTGGAAATCCTACTGATCTGTGCTTGTAATCACTGAGCCTTCTCTCAACAGTTTGTTTGTTTGTTTGTTTGTTTGTTTGGCTTTTGGAGACAGGGTTTCTCTGTATTGTTTTGGAGGCTGTCCTATAGACCAGGCTGGCCTCGAACTCACAGAGATCCTCCTGCCTCTGCTCCCTGAATGCTGGAATTAAAGGCATGCTCCACCAACATCCAACTACAACCTTATATTTTGAACAAGAATCCACTTGCCTGTGCCTCCTATGTGTAAGGCAGGGGCTCTACCACTGAACCACACCCCCAGCCCCTCACTGAGGGATTCTAGGCAGGGGCTCTACCACTGAGCCACACCCCCAGCCCCTCACTGGGGTATTCTAGGCAGGGACTCTACCACTGAGCCACACCCCCAGCCCCTCACTGAGGGATTCTAGGCAGGTGCTCTACCACTGAGCCACATCCCCAGCCCCTCACTGGGGGATTCTAGGCAGGTGCTCTACCACTGAGTCACGTCCACATTTTTTTGGGTGCTGGGTATAGAAACGGGTCTCCACTTTACACACTGCCCCATCTATCCAGTTCCCATAACATTTTTATGAGACAGAATCTCACTGTAGCCTGGCCTGTCCTGGAACAACAACAACAACAAAATAACCAAACAAGCAAAAAGCAAAACAAAGGGCCGGGCGTTTGTGGCGCACGCCTTTTATCCCAGTACTCGGGAGGCAGAGGCAGGCGGATCTCTGTGCGTTCGAGGCCAGCCTGGTCTACCGAGCGAGTTCCAGGACAGCACCCAAAACAATACAGAGAAACCCTGTCTCGAAAAACAAAAAACAAAACAAAACCAAAAAACAAAAGCGTCACTGAAAAAAAAATGTAGACTTTGGTTTTGTTTAGCTTTGGTTTTGGTTTTTTTTTATTAATTTATTTATTTATTGGCTTTTTTCAAGACAAGGTTTCTCTGTGTAGCACCCCTAGCTGTCCTGAAACTCACTCTGTAGACCAGGCTAGCCTCTTCATTGTCCCCCAGGCTGAGGAAGTGTCACTTGGAGCCTGCAGCTGGCAGAGAGATAGCCTCTGTTCTCTGCAACAACTCACACCTCATGGAGCTGGACCTGACCGGAAACCCCCTGGAGGACCTGGGACTGAAGCTGTTGTGTCCAGGACTGAGGCACCCGGCCTGCAGGCTGCACACCTTGTGGTGAGTTCTTCAGGGGCTGACTCAGACAGTCAGCTGGTCAGGTCCTAAATGCCTCCTAATGTGGGAGGCTGAGATAAGAATGTTACCAGGAGGGTGTTTTCAGGATTTTAGCACCATCTTTGCTTTTTGTTTTTTGAGACAGGGTTTTTTCTTCTGTTTAACCACACTGGCTGTCCTGGAACTCGCTCTATACACCAGGCTGGCCTCCAACTCAGAGATCCTGCTGCCTCTACCTCCTGTGTGCTGGGATTAAAGGCGTGCACTGTGCTGCCGCCACCACCTGGCTAAAATGTTACGTATTTTTTATTTCATGAAGACTGATGCTTTGCCTGAGTGTATGTGAGGGTGCTGGGTCCCCTGAAACTGGAGTTGCAGACAGTTGGGTAGTTAGTTTTTTTTAACTCTTTGGGGGCTTGCTACCCATCTCAAATAAATGCACAGATACTTACTCTTACTTATGAATGCCTAGCCTTAGCTTGCCTTATTTCTAGGCAGCTCTTCTTAAATTATCCTGTCTGGATGGCTTGGAGGAATGGCTCAGAGGTTAAGAGCACTGGCTGTACTTCTGAGGTCCAGAGTTCAATTCCCAGCAACCACACGGTGGCTCACAGCCATCTGCAAAGTGTTCCGGTGCGCTCTCCTAGAATGCAGTGCAGGCACACGTGCAGGGAGAACACTATACACAGAGTAAATAAATAAATCCTCCAAAGCAATATCCCCTCTACCTAGTGCCTCTGGGCTCGGACCTTTCTCTGTTCTGTATGTCTTTCTTTCCTTCTTGCTGTTTCTGGCTGCGTGGCTGACACCTGGTGCTGTCTCTTATCCTTTTCTCCTTCTTCCCTCTTCCTCTCTCTCTCGTTCTGTTTATTCTCTCTGCCCACCAGCCCTGCCTGTCCCTCTCTCCTGCCTAGATATCGACCACCACCAGCCCTGCCTGTCCCTCTCTCCTGCCTAGCTTTCAACTGTTCAGCTCTTTATAAGACCAATCAGGTGTTTTAGGCAGGCAAAGTAACACAGCTTCACAGAGTTAAACAAATGCAACATAAAAGAATGCAGCACATCTTTGCATCATTAAGCAAATGTTCTACAGCATAAAAGAACGTAACCCGTCTTCAACTAATATCCCTCAACAGCTGTGAGCTGCCACGTGAGCGTTGGGAATTGAACCCCGGGTCCTCTGCAAGAGCTGCTGGTGCTCTTTACCGCCGAACCATCTCTCCAACCTCATACAATAATAATTTTAAAAATTAGGGGAAAAAAGAGAGATTTGATAGCAGGGGCCAGAAAGATGGCACTGGCCATCAAGGCTGCTGACCAAGTTCAACCCCCTGAGGAAGTTCAACCATTACTGTTACTGAGGAAGGCAAAAAATGATCTCTACACATATTACCACCAAGTGTTAGGACCAAAGGATTAAGACATTTGCCAGGCGCATTTTTGTTTCCTTTAGTCAATAAAAAGTCTTACTAGGGCTGGAGAGATGGCCCAGCAGTTAAGAGCACTTATTTGTTATTCCAGAGGTCCTGAGTTCAATTCCCAGCAGCCACATGATGGCTCACAACCATGTTTAATGAGATCTGGTGCCCTCTGCTGGCACACAGGTAGAAGACGGTATAAATAAAATCCTTTTTTTAAAAAGTCTTACCAAAAAAATAAATAAATAAAATAAAATAAAAAAGTCTTACTAAAAAAATATCTGTAGGCGCCAACGTGACAACCTGAGCTGGGCTCAGACGCATGCACAGGGATCGCCCGTGTGCTCCAAGTCAACTCTTGCCTCCGAGAACTGGACCTGAGCTTCAACGACTTGGGAGACAGGGGGCTGTGGCTGCTGGGGGAAGGCCTGCGGCACCCAGCCTGCAGACTCCGGAAGCTGTGGTGAGTGTTTTCCTTAGGAGGACAGGAGTAGGCTGGGGATGTTAATGAGTGATTCGGCACTGCACACTGGCTGCAGTAGACATTTTAAGGCCGACCTCAGCTTCATGGCTGCTCTCAGGCCAGCGTGGGATATAAGAGATGCTACTTCAAAAGACAAACCAGAAAGCAGTGATGGCTATTTTCGTTGTAAAAACAGGAAACATAACTGAGCCAGGGAGTGATGGTTGGAGCCTTTAATCCCAGCCCTCCAGAGAGCCAGAGGCAGGAGGATCTCTGTGAGTTTAATGCCAGCCTGGTGTGCACAGCGAGTTTCAGGACAGACTCCAAAAGTCACACAGAGGGGCCGAAGAGATTGCTCAGGTTAAGAACACTGGCTGCTCTTCCAGAGATCCTGAGTTCAATCCCCAGCATCTATATGGCGGCTCACAGCCATCCATAATGAGATCTGGCGCCCTCTTCTGACCTGCAGGCATACATGCAAACAGAACAGTGTATACATAATAAATAAATATATCTTTTTTTTTAAAAAAGTCACACACAGAAACTGTCTCGAATAAAAGGAAAAATGCGGTATCTCAGGTTCCTGCTCCTGCCACCATGGTAACCACTTGCTGCCATCACTCCGAGAAAGAAGAGAATCCCCCATCCTCCAAAGAGCAACCCCCATCTCTCACACACACACACACACAAACAAACTTTGGGGGTGGATGTATAGAAGCTGTTGGGGGAAGGCATTTATTAATTTGTGAAACTTAAAGGCTTAAACTCCAGGCATGGCTTCATTTGGGCATTTTCTTTTCGTCTATGTGTAAGTGCATCTGCCTGCAGTGTCCCCAGAGGCCAGAAGATGGCATCAGATCACTTACAGGATGTTGTGAGCCAACTAAACCAAACTTGGCTCCCCTAGAAGAGCAGTCTTAACCACTGAGACATCTCTCCAGTTCCTGCCTTTGGGATCTGGGGCTTCTAGAATCTGCTACTATACTGGCTATACTCTCAGACTCAACCTGCTTCACAGCAGTGCTGCTCTGTCTCTTTCTACAAATGCCCCGCCCCCTTAGCCCAGGCTGTCCTGGAACTCACACTGTAGCCCAGGCTGCCCTTGAACTCAGAAATCAGCCTCCCTCTGCTGGGATTGCAGGAGTGAGCCACCATGTCTAGACTTCCAAACAGCCTTACCAAGCTGGCAGCATCTTGCTCTCTATTTTGAGATGTGTTCTCTGGGGACAGAGAAGTCCTGAGGGCTGGAGCCATCCCTAACTCTACTCTTCTAGGCCAAATTTGACTCCAGGCTAAAACTTAGCCTGGGCTGTCTTGGAACTCAGCTTTGTAGACTAGGGTGGCCTTGAACTCAGAGATCCAGCTGCCTCTGCCCACCGAGTGAAGCTAACTAGTTAGGGTCACCTGTGTGAACACGGCAGGAAGACTATTTGGTGAAGGCTACGCCAGTCACTCAGGAAGGTATCTGGCAACCACTGGATGGGCTCATGTCTGTTTCCTTTAAACCCTGCCACCTGTAAAATCCTCACAAGTCCCTGAAAAGACCACCTCACCCAACTGTTGGCCTCTGCAGGCTGGACAGCTGTGGCCTCACATCCAAAGCAGCTGAGGACCTTTCTTCCATCCTGGGAACCAACCAGACCCTAACTGAGCTTTATGTGACCAACAATGCTCTGGGGGACACAGGTGTCCGGATGCTTTGTGGAGGCTGAGACATCCAAGCTGCAAACTGCGAGTCCTGTGGTGAGAGATGGACCCTGATTTCTTGGGGACAATGGGGGATTCCCGAAAGCTGGACTCAGATGTGGGGGTAGGAATTCTAAATGATTGAGATGCATTAAACACTGGATAAGTAATGCTGGAGAGATAGATCAACAGTTAAAAGCACTTGGTGATCTCACAGGGGACCTGCGTTCAATTCCCAGCACCCATGTCAGGTGACAACGTTCACCCACAATTCTAGCTCTAACTCCCTTTTCTAGTTTTCATTGTCATGCCCCCACCTCACACCCACATGGACACACAGAAATGAAAATAATAAAAATTTAATGCACCGGATGAATGGTGTGGTGCCAGTATTTCACTCACAGAATTGTTGTAATACATAAGGCCAGTACTCATGCAGCATGCTAGCTGAACACTAGACTCATTAAGTAGTTCAAACTCTCCATCCTCCTGCCTCAGACTCCTGGCATTGCAAGAGTGGACAGAATGCCTTTACTTCTGGTTCTTTTATTTATTTTTTTGGTTTTTCGAGACAGGGTTTCTCTGTGGCTTTGGAGGCTGTCCTGGAACTAGCTCTTGTAAGACCAGGCTGGCCTCGAACTCACAGAGATCCGCTTGCCTCTGCCTCCCAAGTGCTGGGATTAAAGGCATGCGCCACCAATGCCCCTGGTTCTTTTAAATGAAACCAGTCTCCGCTGGCATCCGGGAGTTCTGAGTCTGCTATTTACCCACTGAACATGCTTTCCACACCAGGCTATCTGCACCTGTAAATGAGAATACAGCTTGGATTTTCCTGTGCTTCTTAATTATTAAAGACCAAAAACACTTAAGATTTGGAGTATAGAACCCAGAGAGGCTGGGAACATGTTTGATCCCAGCACATGGAAGGCAGAGGCAGGTAGATCTTCAAGAATTCTTAGAGTAAGGTAAGCTGGGGAGGATGGAATGAACTCCATCCTCAGAAGCCACCCTGAGAAATTCCCTGCTTGGCACAAGGCGGATTCAGCTCCAGTCAAGGAATCATGGATAGTTCCAAGGAGGCCGGGCAGTGGTGGCACACAACTTTAATCCCAGCACTTGGGAGGCAAAGGCAGGTGAATCTCTGTGAGTTCAAGACCAGCCTGGTCTACAAGAGCTAGTTCCAGGAAAAGACAGCCTCCAAGGCCAGAGAAACCCTGTCTTGAAAAACCAAAAAGAAAAAAAAAAAAGCCTTTCTCCTTGGTTATCTCCATTGCCCATGCCCTTAAGATTTGGATTCTTGGGGCTGGAGTCCTGGCTCAGTGGTTAAGAACACTGGCAGCAAAGAGTCTAGGAAACAGAACCTTCATCCAGCGACTGATGAAAGCAGAGGCAGACACCCACAGACAAACACTGAACTAGATTCCAGTGTCCCAGAGAGAGAACTGATGGGCAAAGGAGTTAAGACTGGCCTGGTTTAACCTGCAGAAACAGTTGACCTGAACAAGGGGGAGCTCTTGGACTCCAGATTGATGGCTGTGTGGAAAGCATGGGACTGACCCAGACCCCTTGAATGTGGTGTCAGTGAGGAGGCCTAGGCAATCTATGGGGCCTTGGATAGTATTTATCCCTGGCGTACAAAAAGACTTTGATTGCCCATGCCACAATATGGGAGGCTCTCTCAGCCGGGACTCTTGGGGGAGGGCCTAGGCCCTGCCCTGGTTGAAATGACAGTTATTGGAGATCCACCATGGAGTGCCTCACCCTCTTTGGTGATCAGAGTGGAGATTGGGTGGGGGACTGGGGCACCTGGTGGGGAGGGCGGGGGAGGAAGAGGGAGCTGGGATTGACATGTGAAACAAGATTGTTTCTAACCTAAATAAAAAAATAAAAAGAACACCGGCAGCAGACTGGGCAGTGGTGGTGCAACCCTGTAATCCCAGCACTTGGGAGGCAGTTTAAAGCCAGCCTGATCTACAGAGCGTGTTTCAGGACAACCAAGGCTACACAGAGAAACCTGTCAAAAAGCAAACAACAGAAATGTTGGTGCTTAATTATGTGCATGTGTGTGTATATGTCCACATGCATCCCAGTGATATTGGCCAGAAAAGGATACCAGATCCCTTGGAGCTGGGCTTAAAAACTGGTTGTGGAACTGAACTCTGGCCACATGCAAGAGCAGGAAGCAATCCATACAGGCACAATGAATAAAATATCTGAAAAGCCAGTGGGGAAATTACTCTTTCCACCACACTGAAAGGAAGGGCACCAGGATGATGTCTTTGCAGTCACCGCAGACTGTCCCATGTCTGTCCCAGGGCTGTTTGGAATGGACCTGAACAGAATGACCCACAGGAGGCTGGCAGCCCTTCAACTCACAAAACCACACTTGGACATTGGGCGCTGAGCAGGGCTGTGGCATCGGAGTAGAGGCCACCAGGACCTTATTCCCTCAGACAGCTGTGATCCAGCACTTGAGAGATGGAACTTGGTGGGGTTTTTGTTTTTCTTCTTGTTTTTCTAACAGTCCTGGCTGTGCTGGAAATCACTTTGTAGACCAGGCTGGTCTGGAACTTACTGAGATCCGCTTGCCCCTGCCTCCCAAGTGCTTGGGTTAAGGGGCAGCCTCTGCTACATGGTGAGGTGACATCAAGATAATTAGGAATTCAAGATCATCCTCAAAATCAGAACCCAGAGGGGGTGCTGGGCATTGGTGGCACACACCGCAATCCCAGCACTAGGGAGGCAGAGTCAAGCATTTGGAGGCCAGCCTGGTCTACAGAGCAAGGTCCAGGACAGTGTCTAAGACAGAGAAACCCTGTCTCAAAACTTAAAAAAAAAAAGGGGGGGGCAGGAGGCCCAGAAAGTGCAGGTTGAAGAAATGTTTGCTCTGCTGGAACCATAAACACACAAGCTTTGATGAAGCTCTTTTGGATTTGGTGTGGACTCCACGCAGATGATTTAGTGTGGGGATTGTCTGGTTAACGGATTTGAACAGCAGTGAAAACACCAGGGAGACACAAAAATCTGGAGTACTGGACATTTCTGTCAGCCACTGGGCCAATACTCCCACCTACTGGACAAATCTGAAAGTACAACGGATCAAAATAAGCGCAGAGAAAATAATCTTTTTCTGTCTTTTGAGACAAGATTTCTCCATGGCTTTGGAGCCTGTCCTGGAACTCTCCCTAGACCAGGCCGGCTTTGAACTCCTGACTGCTGGGATTAAAGGTGTGCACCATCAACACCAAGCTTAAATTTTTCTACTTCTTAACTGAACACTGTACTCACATCCGGGAAATATACACTAGAACAGAAGCACAAAATCCAAAGTGGGCTGAGCTGTAGGTCCAAGGTTCCAGAGGACTTAGATCAAATAAGATCCAGGACTATTTATGTCTGTTAGCCTCACAAATGCGGCCTCAACTGGAAGCCTGGCTGCCTAGCTGGCATGCAGGAAACCCAGGACTCTTCATAGATTGCACGCCAATGGTTATCATCTGAAAATCATTAGAATGGCCATGCAAGGTGGCTGATGCCTTTGAGTCATTCAAGAGCCACAGGGACGCCCAGGCCAAAAGCAATTGGCTATGCAGACAGCTTTGAGTGATCTGGGGTTTGAACTCTAGTACCCACAGGACAGCTCATAATCATGCCAGCTCCAGGCAAGAATATGTAGCTACCGGGGGCTGGAGAGATGGCTCAGGTTAAGAGCACTGACTGCTCTTCCAGAGGTCAGGAGTTCAATTCCCAGCAACCACATGGTGGCTGACAACCATCTACAATTCAATCTGGTGTATATGTAATAAATCTTTAAAAAAGAATATGTAGCTAGCTTCTGGCAGGTAAAGGGCTGAACCTTATCTTATCCACTCAAAAACCTACACTTGGCCTAGTAGCACGCCTTAATCCCCACCAAAAAGTGTCTGCTCCGCAAATTCCAGGAGACCCTGCCTCAAAAAGTGCCTCATTACCTGGAGTTCACACTCAGCCTGTTGAAATAGCAAGCATGTCAAAGGCAGCTTGAGAGTGTTTCCAGAAGGGCCCCTGAGTCACTAACTACCACCTCCCATTTCTCTACAGAAGCATCCTGAACCTTTTATCACTACTCCAGAATTCACTGTTTAGTGTCAACATCTCCGAACCTGTCCTGGTGAGCTGTCTACATGCTTACAGGGCTGAGAAAGAAAAGGCAGGGGGACAGTTAGCTCCTGTGAGGAATGAGTAAGACACTAGAACGGTAGCCTCAAAACAGTGGAGGTTAGAGCCAAGAGCTTCTCTCGCTGAAGTTGATATGAATAGAAGATGAGCCCCTCAAAAAAAAAACCGTAGTGACCCAGACCACATGGAACTTCGTAGAAGCCCGGTACCTGCTAATGGAGGCTGTATGTCTGCAACTAGACCAACTCGAGTCACTTAGGGCTAGTTAGCAATCCCTGCCTCAAAATGAACCCTTGACATGACCCCAGCAGGCTAGAGTCCCATCCCTAGAAATCACAAGGAAGCTGCAGGGTGTTGGTGGCGCACGCCTTTAATCCCAGCACTCGGGAGGCAGAGGCAGGCGGATCTCTGAGTTGGAGGCCAGCCTGGTCTACAGAGTGAGTTCCAGGACAGCCTCCAAAGCCAGAGAAACCTTGTCTGGAAAAAAAATCAAAAGCCTAAGCCATTCCCACCCCGCCTCATGAAATTGACAGACACTGAAAACAAGGTGCCAAGAGAAAACTTTTATTGATCCTTAAGGTACCAAGCTGCCAACTGACATTAGGAACAAAAGGGCTTTAAACATTGGCATTAAAGCTGAGTCTGGGGGGCTGGAGAGAGATGGTTAAGAGCACTGACTTGGCCAGCAACCTCATGATGGCTCACAACTACCCGTAATGAGAACTGGCACCCTCTTCTGGCCTTCAGGGACACATGCAGACAGAACACTATAAATTCTTACCAAAAAAAAAAGCGCTGACACTATAGGGTTGGGAACCATGGCTCAATTACCACCCCCACTGCAGATACCATAAATGACACTGACCAGGTCTCTGAGATCCCAAGCCCGGGGTTCTCACTGTAGCTGGAAATGGCCATCAATTCTCTTCTGGACAGTGAGTGAACACTCAGGTCTGGAACAGGAACTGAAGACATTTCAGGGACAGGGGTCTGCGAGCGGTGCTCCCAGGGTGTAGCACTTTCTACTCCATCCAGAAGAGTGCGCCACATTTGAGTGTCCCCAAATGAGCAAGTCCGGGCTCTCAGAAGCTCCACGGTGCCTTCTCCACACAGCCGCACACAAAATGGAAGCACTTTCCCCTTCCCAAGGCCCGGAGAGGGCCTCCATTTTGAGTACGGCTATCTGGGACATCTCCAGGTGGGTCCAGTTGT